TCCCTTCCCCCTTTGTTTTCACTGTCATCCTTTTTAAAAGACTAAAAATAGCAAGTTGTATTTTTTTCCAAATTCCTAAGATGCTGTATCCCCCAAGAATTGTATGCTAAAGCTAGTGTTGAAATGATTAAGCATATGAAGCCGAAAATGAAAAGTTTCTTTTCATCTTGATTAAAGCTTATGACTGACTTTAAACCTAAGAGTTACAGGAAAGTAGCCGTTCTGAGAGAGAAACAGAAGGACGGGGGCAAACAATGACTGATTCAAGATCAATCAATAAGTAGGTCATTAGACAATTGGATAATTTGGGTTAGAAAAAACTCACATTATGCATTTTGCCCAGTCAGCAAACAACTGTGGGACTCTGACGCCAATTTAAACAGAGATCTTCCTTACTGTTTCTTCGCCCCGTCTCTGCTGTGTTTGGGTAAGTCTGTGAGTCTACCCCACGGCCATCAACTTGGTGCTGACTTCTAGTACAGGGTTGCAAGGCGAAGCATCTTCGCAAGAGCAGAGAGCCTATTCTTTCTCCTGCAGAGCCACTGGTGGGTTTGAACTACCAACCTGAATGTTAGCAGTGCAGGGCTTACCTGACAGTGTCACCAGGGCTCCTTTGCATGCACCGAGGTGGGAGGGAAAACTGGCAATTTAGTTTGTCGTTTGCCCCGGTGAGGGTCTTGAAGATGTTTACTGGGTTTGGTGATGATTTGTGTATACTTTCTATTGATTTTTATAGCCTTGATACATGAGGGGAGAAAGAAAAGAAGATATTTTTCTTTCTTTAGGAGATGCTTTGTGATAGGTTATTAGGAGCAGATTTATTTCACTGGATTTAGAGAAAAGAAAAGATATGAGGAGTTCTCCATGGAATATGTGAAAGGTTGACACCCTGGTCAGTGAGGTACTTGAAGTATCTATGAAAATTGTAGATGTTTATATATGTATATGTTTTATCCTATGAGAGCAACAGTAAACCCTTTAAAATTAAAGCAAATTAAAGTGAAGCCTTATGCTGTTTATATTCATTAAAAATTAAAGCTTGAGGTGCAAACCCTTACGCTGTTTATATTCATGATGGCACAAGCAGGAGACGGGAAGTGTGTTCTTCAGGATGAGGAAGCTGAGCTCCTAAGGGTTAAGTCGGTTTTCGAGGGTGTCGTCAACCCCACCGCTAGTGACCCTGTAGGGCAGAGCCCAACCGTCTCGTGGGGGTTGCAAGCTCTCGCTCTTTGTGGACGCAGGCTGCCTCCTCTTCCTTCTGTAGGACCCCGGTGGTTTCGAGACACCGCCTTGTGGTTTACGACTAAGGGCTTTAACCACCACACCAACAGGGCTTCATCCCAGGATCGTGGAGCTGCGTTTAGATCAGAATGCTCTTTTCCCCAGCCCACTCAGTGGACAGTGGAGCCGAGAAGGTCCGAGGCGATGAACTAGCAACATGACAATATGTATGCCTCTGATAAAGGAAGGAGTTAGGTAAAGCTGTGTTTGTGCGTCGCAATTACAACTGACTCAGAACATATTTGCGTACACAGATCAGAGGGAAAGGTTTTAAAGTTTGGCATGCTTGTGCTAGGCTGGTGGAATTTGGGGTGCTGCTATTTTCTTGGTTTCCTCAATGTCAGTTGTGAGTCAGTTACTTTCACATTAAAGTACACATGAAGATGGAGCACCTGTAGGCCGTCAATCAGGGTATCTGAATATCTGGATATTTTGAATATTTGAATATCTGAATATTTGGGGTGTGCTTTCTGAAAATTCATGTGGTCATTGCTGCTTATGTTCATGTTTTTAACTTTTCAGATCATCAAGCTTCTGGATGGAAAGCGATCTCAAACAGTGGGGATCTTGATCTCCAGTTTGCATTTAGAAATGAAGGACATCCAACAGGGTAAGGCTTCCACATCGCTCGAGTCATCCCCACCCCCACCCCTGCCCCCACCCCTCAAGTTTTAAATTTTCAAACATTTTAGTGTGAAGTTCTTTCAAGTATAATACTTAAACCGTCACTGCCCTTGAGTCCATTGTAACTCACAGCAAGACTGTAAGGGCAGGGTAGAACTGCCCCTCTGGTTTCTGAAGCTGAAACTCTTTACTGAAGTAGAAAGCCTCATCTTTCTTCCAAGGGGCAGCTAGTGGTTTCAAACTACTGATCTTATGTTTAGCAGCCCAATGCATAACCATTATGCCACCAGGGCATCAGCAAGCATAACACAGAGAATGTTAAAATGAGTCTATGCTATAGTGTGCCATTTACACCCAATATCCATCTACAAAATCATCATCTCATCTCCTATCACCCTTAACTGCCAGCTCCTACCCCAACTGGATTATTAGGGC